TTATAGAGATTATGAAAGCTTCAATTAAAATGGCATGCGATTACATGTAAGCCTATTTATAGAGTCTCTTGCCTGAGATCTTCCTCCTCCCCCAGAAACAAAACAAAACAAAACACTAAAAAACTAAAATCAAAGATATAATCTTAGCTGAAGGAGTATCTTTGCTTGTGAAATACACGTAGGTAGGAAAAGGAAGGAGGCATATTCTGAACATTTTTGGTGAGAAATGAACATCTTCTTTTTCCAATTAGATGAATTGCTGTAGCATTTCTTCACATCCAACCTTGTACATGTTTGCATTATGGGAATTTCATACACCCCATGCCTATTGCCTTATGCTACATTCAGCTTTATGGATACCTTTATATATCTGTCTTCATAATCACATTGCTGACACAGCGAGTGGGGTAGAGGAAGGTCAGACAGCCCACGGCCAAGGAAAAGATGGAGGAGAAGGGCTGGAAGAAGTCTCAGCATCCAGAGACAATGTGGGTTTTGACTGGCAGGGTGACAAGGGAATGAGTGAACAGAGAGGGAAAGAGAACGAGAGATTTCTGGGGATGCAATGCAAAGAGGTGGCTTTGGCATCATTGCTACCTTAGCAGAGGACAGAACAAGCCCATCGTTCCCATCACTGGCTTTGTGTTTTTATCTGAGTTGACAGCACACAGGTCATGAGTGACCTAGTGATATGATAGAAGGCATGATGTGTGTGTCCTTGGAGATCATAGAATACTGTAGAACAGACCAGATACATAGTCTTTAGAATCGCTCTCACCTCTGTGATCTGAGCACAAAAATACCTGTTCCTCTATTACTTTGGAATCTTTAGAATTTATGAGGAAGTAGCCTTTGCATAAATTTTGTCACAATATATTTTGAAATCTCCCACAAATGGAGATCCCCGTTTTGTGGCATTCTGTAACGAAAATCTAAAAACACATGCTGTGGCCCAGAGAGCAAGCATAAAGTACTCATTAACCGCTCCTTTATCAAAATGAGGCTTAACAACTTGACACTATTATTAACACTCTAAAGTGAAATATTCATTTTGGAAGATGGGCAATGTCATTGTGTGTGTGTGGCGGGGGGGTGTTTAGAGACATATTTTTATACAAGATAAAGAGGCAATGACTTCTTAATACTCAGCAAATTGAGTGATTTTTCTGGAAGTTGATGAAGCCCTTCCTTTATTTTTTAAAAATATTTTTTAATGTTTTGTTTATTTTTGAGAGACAAAGAAAGAGAGAACACAAGTGGGGGAGGGACAGAGAGAAAGGGAGACAGAATCTAAAGCAGGCTCCAGACTCCGAGATGTCAGCACAGAGCCTGATGGGGGGCTCAAACCCATGAACCGCAAGATCATGACCTGAGCTGAAGTCAGATGCTTAAGCGACTGAGCCACACCAGGGTACCATGAACCCTTTCCTTTAGATAAGAACCATAGAGTTGCCTCAGTATGTTAGTTGTGTTTAATGATGTTCCCACCACTTCTTTGTTTCTATTGAGAAGAAAACCTCAGTAAATTGGGGGGGGGGGGGGGTAATGCCCAGAGACCTGGTTCTCAGCCACATGCATAGAGAAATCCTTCATGCTTCTACATGTCTATTTCCATCAGCCTTGTTTTGTTTACATGTGTTGAAGAGAAAACAGTACTGATTAATTTGTAATCTGATATTGATAACAAGGCAAAAAATCAGCTTTTGGAAGCCAAGGCATTAAATCGTCGCAGGCCTTTGTCATCATTTGAAGTGCTCTGTCTATACCCTGGTAGCTGGGATCTGGGGTATCTACTGTTAGTTGTTTTATTTAGGAAAAATTTGAGTTCATACTCCCCACCATCGTACATATTCTAGTACGCCACCTGCCACCCCAGCTGTTGGCAATGGAGGCAGCACAGATGAAAAGCCCGCAGAAGTCAATTAATGCATAATGTTCTTTCCTTGCAAGATCAGTTACTAAATCTTACCGGTTTAGGTCTGATATAAAGCAGCCCATGCGGAATTCGGCTTCCCTCACGACACCATGTATCATCTGAATATCCTACGGCTCCCATGGCTTAAAAATAATTCAGGAAAAGAGCAGTGTCCGGAGAATCTCGTATTGGAAGTGTAAACAGTGTGCTCTTACCAAATTCTTTTGGGATATTTATTATTTTAAACCACTGCTTTTTTTTTCCCCTTTTGACTTTGAAATGCTAAGTTTAAGATACCCATGCATCTTAAATTCATCTCTAAATGTGATGCGCTTCAAACAAATGGACAGGATGTTTGGCTTAACTTAACCAAACTGGGTCCCAGTTTTGAGGTTTGAAATATGCTATGATGATTAAGAAAAAAAAAAAAAGTCTTTGAGACAGAAGTGTAAGGCAGAAATATTGCACCCTCAAATATTAATGTGTTCTTCTCTACTAACTACAATGGAAATAGTGGGCGGCTGGAGCAGAGAGAGAAGTACAGCATTAAAGAACGAAATTTTAGATGTAGAGGCAGATCTGTGCCTATAAGGCACTTATCATACATCAGATCAGAGCCAATCAGCAACCCATTTTCATAAACACTGTTAGAACATCTGGTTATCTACTGGGGGCTGGGGGTAGCACACACATGGACCACCACTTGCATAAATAAGATTTTAAGTGTTAAAAACAACAGAAAAAAAAAAAAACCCACCCCAAAATTTTACAAAATCACACAGAGACAAGAGGAATAATATTTTTTATCAGTTTGGGAGTGGAACAGCCTTCTCAAGCTTTACATGACAGCAGAGAATCATAAAATCATGGTATTAGATATCAAAACGCATGATATCGAGGGCCATCTTCGCTCTATAAAAGCCAGAGGCTGGAAACAAAGAAACAAAACTGAAATCATGATCTTCTCTCTTTTATCATTTCAACAGTTAGAAGAAGTAATGTGCCCATTTTCATGTTTTTTAAATGAGTGCATCAAATAAGTAAAAGATATACTAATAAGACCACAGTGATAATTTTAAAACACACAAAAAAATGTATCCACAGAAAAAATTTAAATGGTAAAAGAACACATGACAAATGGCTAGTCACACTAGGAATTAAAAAAAAAAAAAAAAGGCAAAGAAACAGACATGAAACCATTTTTTACCTTATCAGTTAAGCGTCTGACTTCGGCTCAGGTCATGATCTCACGGTTCATGGGTTCGAGCCCCGCATCGGCCTCTGTGCTGACGGCCAGCTCAGAGCCTGGAGCCTGTTTCAGATTCTGTGTCTCCCTCTCTCTCTGACCTTGCCCTGCTCACGCTGTCTATCTCTCTCTCAAAAATAAATAAAACATTTAAAAATTTTTAAAAAAGAAATAGAAAATATAATTTTTTAAATGTTTATTTAATTTTGAGAGAGAGAGACAGACACTGAGCAGGGGAGGGGCAGACAGACGGGGAGAGAGCGAGAATCTCAAGCAGGCTCTGAGCTGGTACCACAAACCGTGAGATCATGACCTGAGCCAAAGTCAAGAGTTGGACGTTTAAGCGACTGAGCCACTCAAGTGCCCCTCCAATGACTCTCTAAATAGATGAACACCTTAGTTTTTCCTGGAGGAGACAGAATGCTACAGCTTGACCAAAACGTAAACCAGTGTATTTGAGATTTTGCCAAGGGTTGAGATGTCAGGACCAAAGTCATTGCATTATTTATCATGAATTCAGAGTCCACTCTGAAATTGCACAATTTGTGTATTCTTCAAAAGCACTGCTTCTCAACTGGACACGTCCACCTCTATCTTCCCAAAGCCACAACTCCAGATTTCCAAAATGTGTGTGTGTGTGTAACATGTGCGTGATATGTATATAATGTGTAGAAATAACTGATGTGTGTGTGTGTGATGTGTATGCACTGTGTTTCTGGTGTATAATGTGTGTGTGTAAGATGTGTATATGTGTGTAGTGTGTGTGTGTGTGTGTGTGTGTGTGTGTGTATAACGTGTGTGTGTGGATTTATATGTTTCTTGGCTCCGAGTATTCTAAAAGATAACCTGGCATGAATTATCTGTAGGGAAGCATATTCCTTATGAGTCTGGCTTCTGAATTATTTCACTCATTAGGCATGTTTTGTAATTATGACCTGAAACGATTTGTAGAACGTTCTGAGAAATGGCCCGCAAGAAACCAGTTTCTATGTGGTAGCTTTCTAGTTAGGAGATTCTTCATTGAGTTACATGGGTTCTTTATGGGAACTGATAATTTTGGACTCAATTTCAAGAATACATGTCCTTATAATATCATATGTTTGCACGTATAGGAGGATTAGGAAGAACTTAACAGAGGACCATGGGGGAGAAGAAGGGGGGAAATAGAGGGGGAGAGGGAGGGAGGCAAACCATGAGAGACTCTTGAATGCTGAGAACAAACTGAAGACTGATGGGTGTGGGGGAGAGGGGAGGGGGGTGATGGGCATGGAGGGCACTTGTGGGGCTGAGCACTGGGTGTTATATGGAAACCAACTTGACAATAAACTATTTGTAAAAAAAAAAAAAATACATTTCCTTATTTTCTGTCAAGAGTTGGCTTCCATCTTATCTAAACCATTTGTGAGAACTTGTGCATGATGAATGTGTAGCCCCAATCGTGATACATAGGACCTTGTATCTTAACTTTGTTTATTGATTTTGATTAGGCATGCATTCCTTCCTAATATTTCCCTGCATTCTTTCCTAATATTTCCCTGTACATTCTGCCAAACTTTCTTAAGATATGCGTGCCTTACAGATATTTTAATATGCTGTCTTGTCTATATTTTTGAATGTCTTGTCAAATGGCATGCATATGGGTTTAAATGCATGTTTTCTATTTTTCTCTCAAGTGCAGAAGAGAGGTCCCAGCTCACTATAAACCTGGCTTACCCTAGGTAGGACCTCGTGCTCTGTCGGCGTGTCTAGAGGGCAGGTGGAGAAGGCTGTGTCCGCTCTACCCCCTCGCCCGTCCTCATGTACAGGAAGAATGGGTAGGGCCGTGTCATGGCCGTAACGTTGCAACCACGTGCCTACGTACAGTGGCAGCCACCGCCTAAAGAACACTCCTAAGTTGTCAGTGTTCTACACTCTTATTTTCACCTGGAGCTTCCACCCACCGCTTCCTGTTCTTGTAAGCTCTCTTGTTTTTGATTTCGCCAGAAGGACTTGCTGTCTTTAGAAATCTCTCACTGAAGTAGAGCCCCCGTTGGGATGAATGGGAATCAGAGTGCTAGGAGCTCTTCAGAATGGACTCACCCAGACGTCCACATTGTCCCGGGTCCCTCCTGGCCTGTTGACCAGTTCCTGACTATAGAAGATGGAAGAATCTGGCAAGTGGTTCCCAGAGCAAGAGTACTTTCAGATCCGTGTAGCTGAATAGGAGGCAGAGACTCCTTCCCCTTCCCATGGGAGAATGAGACCGGGAAAGGCATCAGGAGAAAGGGCTGGGTATGACCCATCTCTTGTCGCTCTGTCTCTACGGAGCTAATTCAGAGGCGCATGGTGGAGCATCCGAAGCCAAAATAGCCCGGAGTCGCTGCTGGACTTTGTGGCTTTCTCCACTGATGTCACCGCAAAGCTGGAGGGACCGAGCAGGCAGTGGCTGACTCTTCAAGGTAACCCTGGGCGCTGTTGGAGAAGCCAAAAGGAATCATCCTGGTGCGGAAATACTGGTCAGGCCTTCTAGAAGCGGAGGCTGAGAAACGACTTGTTACACAAGCTCAGGGTTTGGAGCGGGGTGGGGTGAGGAGGGGCAGGTCTCAGGAGACTCTTGTCAGAAAGTGATGGGAGCAGAATGGGCAGGTGAGAGGCTGAGGCATCGCAGCCTGGCCCCATGGCGGGGGCTCAGGAGTGAGGATTGCAGCTCAGAGTCAGTTCTGCTTGAAGCGAGAGGTCTAACTTCTTACAGCGTTACATCAGTCAGTCACTGGGCACGGGTGGAGGCAGAAAATTGCCCAGGCCCGTGGATGTCTGCAGCAATCTTTTGGAAAGGGATACGGTGAGTACAGGACCTTCTGGTTATGGCGCACCAGCCATAGAGGTAACCCGGTTGCACCATCTGATTGTCAAGAAAGAGATAGTAAAGAAGCCTGCATTAGCCATTAGGGAGCTGGAAATGTACGTGACGCGTGAGACCCCGAGCCATGTAGACGAGAGAGGACAGTGCGATGCAATTGTCCCTGCTCACGTGAACCCTCCTACCAACTCCACCTTATTTTTCTTTTGTCTCCTTTGTGCACCTTCTCAGATTGATTGTTAGCAGGAGTTCCCAGCTTTGAGATCGAGGTGATCGTAAACAGGCAAAACCTTAGCAGGTGGGTGAGGCAATACACGGCTGAATTAAAATGTATAGAAGGGAGGCTGGGTCTGCTTTTCTGAGAGAGTTGCTGCGATGTTTGTAGAACGTTGTGTCGTGTGGCATGGGACAGGGGCAGAATTTAATAGGTACACAGAACTGTTTAATATTCCTTCTCCGTTGCATCTCTTATTGAAGTTCGGTACATCTGGCAGTTATGGATTAGCAGGCACACTCTTTGGAAAATAATTACTTTGTGCCTTTGGGTGTGGGCATTAATTTCTGAGTCTTGGAATCTGTTCTATTCTATATTTCAAATTACATTGTGCTTTCTAACTGGGAAATGTGCTTGCCTCCTGATCTGAATCTAGGGAGCTAGGGACAGAAGGCCCGTGAGGCAGGAGGGACATTCCTGCTTTGATTCTAGGGGTTGGGCTTGGAAATATCATAATACATTGCGGGAAAAGATGACGTGAAAACAAAGGTTTGGATGGGTTATTATATGGCACAGACTCTTTGTAACATGAAGAGGTAACACCCATCTTTCCTGAACCAGTTAATGCACCGCCTGCACACTGCTTTCAGACACAGAGACGCTGACCTAATTTATGCGCTCACCATTGTTATTGCACATTTCAGAGATGAGACCCAATAGTCGCCAAATTGCCAGTGAAGGGGAAATTAGCAAATGGATCAAATGAGGTAATACATGATAAATTGTTGGCGGGGGGGGGCAGTTTAAAGCATGCTATCTTATTATGATACATCCATTTGTATGAAATTATCTAGAAGTTTTGAGGAGGATACAGAATATCATGGGGATTATGCTCATCATCCCTTATCTATTCTACCTATCTAAATGACTTATATTCTATCCTATCTATCATCTATCTATCACCTAACTCTATCTACCTACCTACCTAAATCATTTACTATCTATCATATAGATTATATCCATCCATTCATCCATCCATCCATCCATCCCTCTATCTTTCCCTCCCTCCTTCCCGCTATCTATCACCTATCTACCTACCTACCTACTTACCTATCCATGTATGTCTATCTATCCATCCATCCATCTATCTATCTATGTGTCTGTCTATCTATCTATCTATCTATCATCTATCATGTATCTGTCTCCATTTATCCATCCATCCATCCATCTCCCTACCTACCTACCTATCATGTATCTATCTCCATTCATCCCTATATCTATCTATCTATCTATCATCTATCATGTATCTATCTCCATTTATCCATCCATCCATCTATCTACCTACCTATCATGTATCTATCTCCATTCATCCCTCTATCTATCTATCTACCTACCTACCTACCTACCTACCTGCCTACCTGCCTACCTACTTACCTATCTAAATCATCTATAATTATCATATCTATCTATCCATCCCTCTATTTATCTATCTCCATCCAATCCTATATCTCTCTGTCTGTCTATCTATCTTCAATCTACCTGTCTCTTCCCATGGATATATATGTATGCATGTACACATATGATACATATGAACATATATATGTGAACACACACACACACATACACACACACACAGAGTAATTACCAAACGTAAGATAAAGGCAGCCTAATCCAGCACACTCCTACCAGGTAAGAAGAGTTCTGTGTCTTTCTATGGTGAATGGATGGAAACCCAAGAGCAGATAAGGGAAAAGCACTGCCTACAAGAGCGCTCCCCACCTTTGTGACACATGTGCGTGATGTATCTGTGCACCGCGCAGATATGCTTTACAAGCGAGTTGTATTTATCAGTATTTACCATATCAGAACTTAGAACTAAGGCTTTTTAAAACTATTCTTCGTTTATCTAGTTTTAAATCACAAAAATAAATGTAATATCTGTTTTTTAATGGAATAATTTTTAGAAATAACCACTTTCTAAAAAAATAGAATAGAGGCAATGTCTTACACTCCTGCAGCTCTCCTAAATGTCTAGTTTCCTGAAACACACCTGGGGCCTGATACTTCCTTTCACATTTTGCCCGTTGTGATATCTAAAGCCACATAACTTGCAAGCATCTGACTACACTCTCAAAACCTTTTTTTAAAGGATACAAACCGTAAGTCAAGTCCCAAGTCCCATTGTTTTTACAAAAGGTTTTGGTTTTGTGGAACCCCAAGCCATACTTTGAGAACCACTGTTTAGGTAGTGTCTTTGTCTGTCTCTCTCATGTTGGATAGGGCACCATCTTGACTGCTGGGTGATCCTCAGTTGCACTAAAACAGACTGGAATCTGCATGTGTTTGGAGAGATTTTGCCAACTCTTTGAGACTTACACTTCAATTGGGGACACGTGTTTTCAGTGAGGACATGTAAATATCAGTATCTGTCTCTGTTTTCTCTGGACCTCTCAGTTTTCCTAGAGAGAAATATTTTAACAAACCCTGCGGTGAGCAATTTTAGAATCCAGGGTGCAAAGTGGGCCGAGCTGCTCAGCATGTGGTATGTAGACTTTCCCTTAATGTACCCATTTTCCGTTCGACTCCACCCTGCCCCTCCAGCTGCAGCTGGCGCCTGGAAGAATGGAGTCCCTTGAAGACATACTCAGTTTCCCTGAGGTCCCCATCAGGTCCAGTAGGGGGTGATTCTGCAGCCTTGTGGGATGGACTGGAGCTGAGAGATTTCGCTTTTCAGGAAAGTCTTGCTTTATCCCGACCTGGGACCTCACCGCCAGAGCCTTCTGCTGTCACCAGTTTCCAAGCATTTCTGGCATTTAAGGTCAAGAGTTGTCCTATTTCCTGTTTGGGTTCTCCCGAGGATGAAGGCTCCAAGTTTCTCCCATCTGGATACATTGGAATCCATCCATCTGCTTCCCAGCTAGTCCTACTTTGCTGAAATCCTAACATGTGGTCATCTGCTGTCCTATTTCTGTCTTGAAAAATTTTGCCTCTTACTTACACATTTTTTTTTTGTCTTAGTGGGTTTACGGGAAACAAGGTTTCAATCTGCTATGTTTAACGAGGCATCTGCAAATGCCCTCATATTTAGTCCCCTTGCAATGCCTCAGAGTAGCCCCCGCTGGGTATTGGTGGAATATTTGCCACTAACTAGTTGCACAATTGATTAATTAACATATTCGATCACATCATAAATATGCATTAACCGCCCCCTTTGTAACACCTACCTATGTCCTTCTTTGGCATATCTTTTCGCTCTCTTCCATTTCCTGGGGAGATCCACCCCGTAGCCTCCATGAGCACAATGCAAAGGCAGCAGTAAGATTGATTGATTTGGGGTCCATGAGAAGTTGGATGAGAGGCATGCAGCAGCTGAAGGAAAAGGGGTTGGCTGAAGAAGTTCAATGCCAGGCAAATGTAGGCTCATTCTTCCAGACGTGGTCACACACCACCTTCTGTCTGAAGCCACACAGACCTTCTGGGGTGCTGTGCTCCATTGCCACTCCCTTCTCACCCCTAACTGAACCTCTTTATATAGTGCATGTCCACCTGCCAGCCTCTGAGACAGAAATGTAAACATTTTGAGCTTCCTGTAATCTGTTGAATCATCTCCAATTCTTGTCATCCTTCAGACACGATATTTAAAGACAGTTTATACGGCTTATTTAAATAGTTCAACCAAACAGACACAGCAACACTCTTGCATGTATAAGAAAGACATCTTTTTCTCTACCCTAGATCAGCATTACATCTATAGCACATTTTTATTTAAAGAAAAACAAATATCATTCCGTGTTCCTGATGCCATACTGGCCTGAAATCCGAAGCATTTACCTACCTGTCCTCCACAAATATTGGAAGAGTTGACATTGCCAATATCAATTGCAGAAGTAAGAAGTTACCAAGTGTACAATTTGAATTATGCTTCTGAAAAGAGAGTATGTCTGAACTGCCGTCATTTTTTTTAAAAAATAGATCTCCCACAATGGAACATTCAGATTCCAGAAATTTTAGAGATGACGGTTTTTCCATAAATATGCATTATGATCATTATATCACACGATGTGAACATCACATACATGTTGAAGAGTAAGAGTCTTCTTATGAAACCAGTTTTATTCAAATGTAGCCATAGAAACATAGGCTGCAATAAATTACTTTAGGAAAGAAATATGGTAGAGCCTTGAACAGCACAGTTCTGAACTGCATGGGTCCATTTGTATACAGACATATTTTCTATAAATATGGTATAGAGCTGCAAATGTGTTTTCTCGTCCTTATGATTTTCTTCATCACATTTTCTTTAGCTTACTTTATTGTAAGAATATAGTATATTATATTTATAACGGGCAAAATATGTGTTAACTGACTTTTGGTAAGGCTTCTGGTCAATAGTAAGCTGTTACTAGATAAGTTTTAGGGAGGTCTGATGTTATACATGGGGTTTTGACTGCACACGGAGTCAGAGCCCCTACCCCTGGCATTGTTCAAGGGTTAGCTGAACACGGGACAATTCCTTTTACCATTGTAAGATAGAGACTGTACTTAAAACTGGACTTGGATTGCTTAGAAATCAGACTGGTACTGCAAAACCAAAAAATGTCACACGTTCAGTGCCGTGGACAGTGAGAGTAGTGTGTACCACTGTGAAGGAGCTGGATGTGCCTTCTCTGGGAACGCAGAGAAGTTGATGATATCAGCAATGAACGATTCTTCTGCCTTCCTCCCTCTCCAGTGTGTTTTCATGACTTAAGATAGATGCTTAACCTGTGGTTAGCTCTGGATGGATCCTTAAGCACAGCTCTGCTGCCAGTACATTTCCTGGCTATTGCCAGTCACCCTTACATGATCGTGAATGAGGTCCCGTGGCCACCGCTAAGGCCACGAGGAGCTGAGAAAGGTAGCCCATGCTCCTGCTGGCCCGGGCTGGACAAAGAATCCAGTGCCTTAACTGAAGAGGAAGAGTGGGAAGGATATTGAGAATAACCTGCCCTGTGGTGGATGGGATTTTTTTTTTTTTTATCATTTCTAAATGGAAAGCCACAAGCTTCTCTTGAATCAATATCCACCAGAAACAGAAACAACATATGAATCCATCATCTTCCTTGTTTTCATTAGGATTTTGAAATACTTTTGCTTCCTTGTTTAGAAGTTTTATTCCAACACATTGATTTCACCCACATTCGCCATAAGAATTGAAGACAGAAAACGTGTCAATGAATATGGTCTTGAGGAACCTAGAAAGGCTCATTGAAGTTATATCTTGACAACACCGTAAAAGTCTTAATCTAAAACTGATCTTCAAATTACAGGCAAAACGTTTTCTAGAGAGAAGCGTGATTGGCTATCCATGCGTGTAACGAATGTCAGCACCATTATTTCTCAGTTACTAGATTTCTGTGGGTTTTTTTTTTGTTTTTTTTTTGTTTTGGTCTTTTTGTAGATGGCCGTGTGCCTGTTACATTTTGAATTTTATTTAAAGGCCTATGGGACCGCTGAAATTCTTATGTAGAAAACTGATGCTCACAAGGAGTACTTGGACAAACTTTGAAAGCAGAAACCACACAGGTGAGATTGAGTGGTGGAGGTCAAAGACAGCCAAGGTCAACAGTTTCAGATTATAGGACATGGGATCCAGAGCATAGGCAGGTAAGATGGGCCACAGTAAGAGAGTGTAGGCAGTCGTGCATTGGAAATGTATGATGAGGTAAAGGTCCTATGCTCAAATTCGGGGCCCTGGGAGACTGATTACTCCTTGCTCATGGCCACG